CCTGCTGATTCGCATCAGAACAGGGCTGATGCAGAGCCCTGCTGCACCTGGGGCTACACGGGGCCGGCAAACACCTTGAAAGGCTCCGCAAAGGAGCGCAGTGGGATGTTAAGGACGCCAGCGGCCTCCGGGGGGGGGGCGTTAATGCCATTAAGTATGCATGGAACTAATCAGGTGAGGTGCTTTTAGGGTAATTAATTTAATTGGCGGGATTTTAATTTAATGCTCTCCCTCCCCCCAGCAGATGATTAATCGCAGTGCCGCTATGTTGTATGCCCCCTAGCCCTGCCGCTCGAAGTTCCTTGAGAGGCACGGTAGGCGGAGAGTGAGGAAGTTGGGCTTGGCGCTGGAGGAGGTGCGTCGGACTCAGACGCGGGGGGCGGGGGGGCGTCCCAAGCAAATCGCTCTCTGTGAGGCCATCCAGATCAGGAAATACTTTGCGAGCCCAGAGGGAAGGGTTACTTTCAGGGGCCTCACTGGAAGAGCCGCTTGCTTCAGACCACCACATTTTAGGAAGGATGTCGACAAGCTCGAGCGTGTCCAGAAGAGGGCAATCAGGATGGCGAGAGGGTTGGAATCCAAGTCTTATGAGGAAAGGCTGAAAGAGTTGGGTCTGTTTAGCCTGGGAAAGAGAAGGCTCAGAGGGGACGTAATTGCAGTCTTCAAGTATATGGAGGGCTGTCATGTAGAAGATGGAGCAGATCTATTCTCTCTTGCTGGACTAGATGTCATGGGTAGAAATTGCAAGGGAGTCAATACCGGCTAAATATCAGGAGAAACTTCCTAACTGTAAGGGTGGTTGAGCAGTGGAACAGTCTGCCTCAGGTGGTGATGGATGCTCCTTCGCTGGACGTTTCCAAGCGGAGGCTGGACGACCATCTTTCATGTATGTTGTAAGCATGTAGGGCTCTCTTTCGGCTATGCTCCTGCAGAGTGCAGGGGGTTGGACTGGATGACCTGCAAGGTCCCTTCCAGCTCTAACATTCTATGATTCTATGTCCTGTGCATTCTCTTCTCATCTTTGCATTTTGCTCTCTGCCCAAAGAGCTCTGGATGAGTTGTAGGATTTCCCCACACACACACAGGTCTTACCCCTACAACAACCCTGTGAGGAATGGCCCATGGAAGGTCTGTAGAATTCCTGCCTTGTAGGCCCAGGGTCCCAGATTCAGTTCCCAGAAGCATCTCCTGTTGGAGGCAAACAAGGAGCCAAAGGGCCAGAAGAGGCCTTTGTTTGCTTGAGACTTTGGAGAGAAGAAGAGGAGGAGGAGGAGGAGGAGGAGATT